AATCACCCACAGAAGACAAGACACAGCAAGTTATTCTGAGGCTCCACACTTTGTATGTCAGCCGCTTTAGCACTATTAAGCAGACAGAGATGGAAAGCCTTAATGGATGACCATAGTACAAGAAATTGAACCTGGGAGCCAGTCACTGTTCAATGCCTAACAGCAAGATTTATTAGGATTCAGATTTGGATTCTAGCTTGTGATTGATCACTGTCACCACTCAGAGTTCAAGGCTCTCTTTACTTTTCCTAGGAGCACTGCTGAAGATGATCCTCCACCGTTTCTTCAGTCAGTCTGAACCACAAAGAAGTTTCCCACTACTGTGTTTTGTCTTCAGCTCTCCTTTCGTTTTTTAAGGGCAATTTTCTGAAGCAATTTGCCTTTCTTTTTTTTGTCTGATTTCTGTCTAGCACTCTTTTCCTTGTTTATCTACTATTTTATTACATTCTGTCTATACCTTACCCCACCCCTACTGTTTCTAATCCTATGCCTTCTCTAGCTCTGATTTACTCAACTTCCATTTCCTTTTTTCCTTTCTTTTGTAATATTTTCATTTAGAAATCACATTTCATAATCCTTTTTGGCAGCGAGATGGAGGTGTCATGTACTTGCTGGTGTGCAGATGCTTTCCTCATAAGTCCAACATCTTCTTCATCCAGCCACTAAAAGAATTTGATTCTAAAGGCAGATTTAGTGGTACATACATGGTTATGTACTATCTAGTTAAAGCAAAGATATGCTTTATTTAGAGAATTTTAAACGAAATTGAGACTGAATGTCCTATTTGACTAGTTAATCCTCTACTGCATCTGTATTTTTTGAATCTCAGATTCCAACTAGCTAGTTAGTTTATTTGTTAAACTCCTAGCAGTGGAAATTTAAAAAAGAGCCATAAATAAAAGGGAATAAAACAGAATACGAACCTAACACAGGAGTTCCCTCGTGGAAACTTAAAACCGATCAGTGCCACTTTCTGTAAGGTTCAGATCAGATGTGATAATCCGAAAAGTCAGTCTTTCAGAATAAATGTCAAGCAGCACGATTACCAGAAAAATGGCAAATGGTTTAGATGACTTTCAAGCTTTGCAAAACTCAGTGTGAGAGGTCCTTATCCCTCCTACGACTACTCTTTCACAGAAACTGAAGGAGCACAAAATGTGCCAGAGGGAAACACTGATTCCACACAGTCAATAATTATGATTTTCATACTGTCACAATTCAGTAGTAAATTAGGAATCAGAGGATCTACCAAGAAATACCAGATGGTTCATTATGAAATACACCAGCTGTCCTTTTTCCTCCAACATCTCACTTGAAACTGGTGGAAAACGAAGTTACTTTAAACTACCCTGTACAGCTCTATAATAAAAACAGATACCAAAACAGAGGCTGCAATATCCAGCCACTCACTGGATTCACCTAGTCTACCCTCGTGATGCCATGCAGTGCAATCACTCAGCTGCTTCACAAAACAGATCACATATTTCCACTGAGGTACATCTGCTCTCAACACCATACTGGCCCTTGTCTAACGGAGTTCATAGCGTCACAGTAGGCAAGCAGCCATTAGTATAAACTGGATCAACACCCATACAGCTGAGCTACCAAGGACACAAATTGAATACATACATTGTACCTCAAGCCTAACAAGGGCTCATCAGATGTCACGTCAAAGGTGGCTCCTGCATTAAGTGCCTGGGAATGGAAAGCAAGGCAGTTTTAGAGGGGTATACATGAATGGCTTGAGACAAAACTCCTTAGTTCAACAGATTAGCAATATTCTTTCCAAAACACTCATGTATTTGAACGGAAGGCAAGAGGTAAAGAAGTTACTTAAATACCACATCTATGCTTACTATCTTTGGGTGCTACCTTTGCAAAACCAATAGCTCAGAACTGTTAATAAATAAATCCTTGGGGCTATAAAAGGCTACTTTCTTAGACATACTGGACTAAAACTCTTCCATGCTTCATTTTAGTTTTATCACTTAAGGAATTAATTTGGCGAATTTTAAGAATGTAACAGACTACGCGTATTTTTCAGCAATCAGTCTCAGTTCTTACAGTACAGCCAAACTGCTTCCACTAAGGTCTGCTAGAGATAACAAATCTATCCCTCAGCCAAGCATGAAGATGTAAGCATTGCAAAAAGAAGTGGTCCAGGGGGACATTTTTCACACTGCCTCACAAAAAAACCCAATTCATTTTCGAGTTAATTCTTTTCAGCTCCCTAGCTAAAAAAGACAACTTAATTCCTGTTGCTAGGTGAGTGTATTAGCAAAGCCTAAAATACAGCCAGTTAAAAATCTGTAAGATTTGCTCAGCTATGTAGCTGGTTTATGTGTTTGTTTATAAATGTCAATCCTTCAAAAACTTTTGGAAGGTTACTCAAATGTATCACTGTTAGATCTGCAGCCACAATTTCTCCATACTAGTAATGTAAACTAGTTGGGGGGGCTAAGGGCACACACTTACTTCTCTGAGAGAAGAAACAAATAACAATTTCATCGACTTTACATAAACGTAGTTACACAAGTTCCTTTTTCTCTCTTGGAAATTGCCAGGCATCGCTGAGTGTACTGGTTATTCTGGGAAAAAATGGTTTTAGACACCAGGTTTCCCTTTTTACTTTCAGTCACTCAGTACCTTATATTTCTGTCACTGGGTGTCCTGGTTTTGGTTGGCATAGTGCTAATTTTCCTCTCAGTACCTGCTGTGTTTTGGATTTAGTAGGAGAAGAATGTTGATAACACTGATGTTTTCAGTTGTTGCTGTGAAATCAAGGACTGTTTCCAGTTTCACATGTTCAGCTGATGAGCAGGTGTGCCGGAGCTGGGAGCTAGCGGAGCCGGGCAGCCAGCCCAAGCTGGCCAATGGAAATACTCCATACCGTGGGTGTCATGCTCAGTTTATAAATGGGGGTTGGCCTGGGGGCAGGGGGCTCTCTGCTCTTCTCATGCCCATGAGTTCAAATCCTCTCCTGTCTGGGAGTTTGAACTTTTCCAGGAGTTTATTTTTTTCCAGGAGTTCTGCAAAATTCTCAAAAATTCACGGATTTGGCATTCCATGATCGCTGCTCAGGGAGTGGCTGCGGTTTGGTCATTGGGTGGTGAGAAAAACTGTATTGTATATAGTTTGTTTTGCATATTCACTATTATCATTAGTAGTAGTAGTAGTAGTAGCAGCATTTCCTTTCTCATCTTATTAAATTGTCTTTATCTCAACCCATGAGTTTCCCCTTTTGTCCATTTCTCCTCCCCATCCCGCTGGGGGGGGGAAGGCCAGGGGTGAGCAAGCGGCTGTCTGGTGTTCAGTTGCCGGCTGCCAGGTTAAACTAAAACACTGTGTTTAAGTGTCTAGGATGAATAAGAAACCAACGAAACAAAGCAACAGAACAGCAAAAGTTTAATTAGTTCTAAAATAAAGTTTAACTATTTCCTTGTAGTATTACTAATTCAAACATTGTTGGAATGTGAAAATAACTCCTGTTTCCCCCTTAAGCTGTTTATATGATTTTGTAAAGTTATTTCCACTTCAGTAACCTACAGCTTTAATAAACACTTGACACAGAATGTCTTTAAATAATCTGTCTATGTATTAAAATTCTCTCTTCTTTCAAGTATTTTTAAAAGATGGTTAAATTGATCCACTTTGCAAGACAATGTTTATACTACTTCTTTTTAACAGTATTGTAAACTGAATGCAATCTGTTTTTTAACATAATCCACAGCTGCTTCAAAATGTCCTTTCTGACACTCTAGCCCTTTTTTCAAAGGGCTTTAATCAAAAAAGTCTTTAATTAGTATTCATTTCAAGTACATTTTTTATTCATTGCATAAAAATCTGGTCTGAGTAGACGTCTCATTACTGTAAATAACTGACTGAATACTCAAATCTTAAGAATTATACTGGAGAGCAATAAGATAATTCATATGCCGTTCTTCCAGATTTCCATCACTACTGCTTTTTGGCATATTTTTTTCTTTCTTGTCTTGCTATCAAACTTAGAAGACTGTGTTACACACTGGAGAAGGTTGCATTTGAACTGAGGAAAGTTAAATTTTGCCAGAGCCGAATGTTTTATGTAATACTAGTCTTGCAGAACACTGACAATGATAAATGCTATGCAGTTAAATCCCTTTTCTTGGGTCCTTTCTGTCCCAAGGACCTGAAGCACAACATTGAGCTGGGGGAGAAACTGCCTAAGAAATCTGTATGTTCTGCTTTGATTAGCTCTAGTTAGCCATTCACTGACTTCTTCATTGTACGTAAGCATGTGTGTGCAACCTAAGACAGGCAAAAGGAAGTTAATGGATTCCCAGCCTGCCTGTCCTTTTCTCGTCTATGGAGAGCTTTTGCCAAAAATTCAGTGTTTTCAGTCTTTATTTGGACAGGGATGTATTCTCTCTACCTATAGATGAAGAAACAGAGATGAAGTGAGTAACATCAGCTGGAGTCACGTAGCGAGCCAATGTCACTTGGTAAAATACAGCTGTAGTCTTCAGCTACTCTTTTACACCCACAGTACTGCACTTCTAGCAAGCAGTGACACAAAAAGCATTATTTCCGTGCATGGCTCTCAAACTGGGCTGCATGATACGTGAACATCGCCAAGCACTAAGTAAGGGTGAAATGAGGCTGAGTAAGGCACTTCATTGCTCAGAGACCACCGGTGAGCAGAAAGGGACCGCTTGTAGGACACAGTCATTTATCAGCCACCTGCGATTTTGCTGATCACATCATTGGCACTAAAGTATCCCCTTATTAAGTTTAATCATTTATGGTTTTCATAGCACTCGTCATTTAGAGTCAATCTTTGTACGATATTGCTTTTGTAAGCTAACTTCTACCTGTTCACGTTATCACGCAGTGAATGGTCCTGAAGCTCTGGTGTCCTCCATTGGCACTCAGACCATCACCACACTTGAAGCCGGAACACCAGCTTTGTTTTCTGACTATAGAGTCTTAACTACTTGAGCTTTCTTTTTCCCTAACTCCAGCCCTAAGGAACTGTGTTATTTGAAACACAAAGTCTGCGTAAGCTACGGTTATGGAGACAAGCGCATTGCCCCTCAATTCTGGCGAGCTTCTGAAGTGCTGCGGGTAAAGGAGGCAATGCTGCGTCACTGAGGTGGATGAAACACCTGAAAAAACCACCGACCCGGGCCATCTGGGGTGTTTCTACCCGACCCTCAGCTCCGGGTGAGCTGAGCGTCTGCCGCCATTTG